TATTTAAAACATAGTGCATATTTTGAAACAGACCAAGTTTTTCTAAAAGTCTATTTAAGTACTCAAAATCACACTATAAGGAGTCCTGGTGGCCAAGAGGAAAGTAAAAGGAAATAGAGGGAAAAAACTAAGAGGCAAAGGGCATTTATAGAGCTCTAAATACAGGCATGTACATATGTAAATATATTATATATGATGATGGGAAAATAAATCTATGTGCATATACTTAGTTTAGTATTAAGGTAGCAGATGGACATTGGGCCTCTACTCAAGTACTCTCTCTATGCAAGACCACTTTGTTCTATTAAGCTGGCATTCCATGATACTCACCTTCCTCACACTATCGCTGAAGACAAAATGGGCGCATAAGCAAAGGTGGTGAAGAAAGCTGATGGTGCTCGGCTATCAAAAGATACAGCATCTGGGATCTTGAAGGCTTGAAGATAAACAAACGGCCATCTAGCGGAGAAGCAACAAAGCCCACATGGAAGAAGCACACCAGCCGTGTGATCATGAGGTGTCGATAGGATGAGGTATCAGGTATCAAAGAACACAAAATAGTATCATTGTGAATGGGGGAGTATTGAGTGGGGACCCAAAGCCCATCTGTAGGCAACTGGACACTCCTTACAGAAGGGTCATGGAGAGAAGATGAGCCAGTCAGGGTGCAGTGTAGCAACGATGAAACACACAACTTTCCTCTAGTTCTTAAATGCTTCCCATTATGATCTCAATTCTACCTTATAAATCCAGCTAGACCAAAGGATGTGCACTGGTACAGATAGGAACTGGAAACAGGGAATCCAGGACAGTTGAATCCCTCAGGACCAGCGATGAGAGAGTGGTGATACCAGGAGGGCGGAGGGAGGCTGGGGTAGAGAAAGAGGGAACTGATTACAAGGATCTATATATAACCCCATCCCTGGGGGACGGACAACAGAAAAGTGGGTGAAGGGAGACATCAGACAGTGTTAAGACATGAGAAAATAATAATAATTTATAAATTATCAAGAGTTCCTGAAGGAGGAAGGGAAGGGAGGGAAGGGAAAAATAAGCTGATACCAAGGGCTCAAGTAGAAAATGTTCTGAGAATAATGGTGGAAACAAATGTACAAATGTGCTTGACACAATGGATGGATGGATGGATTGTGATAAGAGTTGTACGAGCCCCCAATAAAATGGTTAAAAAAAAAAACCCAGAAGAGTCCTGGTGGCATAGTGGTTATGAGTTAGGTTGCTAACCATAAAGTCAGCAGTTTAAAACCACACAGCTCCTCAGGAGAAAGATCGAAGCTTTCTATTCCCGTAAACAGTTAAGCATCTCAGAAACTCATAGGAGCAGTTCTATGCTGTCCTACAGGGTTGGTAAGAGTAGGCATCAACTAAATGGCAGTGAGGATCACGTTATGGGCAGAATAAAAATCTCTCAGATGAGAACAGCATTAAGATTTTCCCCCTACATATTCTTCTCATTCATAATGACCCACATTAAAACTTTTTATTTTCAATTATTTCCATCCTCCAACCTAATGTAGCAATCACACAGTCACTAATAAAGTTTTACCCCAAATGAATAAAGCCAACGGTTGAACTAAAGGGTGCTTAATGTTAAAGAAAGTTGGGGAAAGAGAATGCTTATTCAGCTTCCATTTCTCTGTCAACACCCAAAGACCAGTTGTCTGTGTTTTGGCTTCTAATCTAGGTGCTCCTGGTTGAGAACACCGAGGTGTCTAATTCTAACGGAGCCTCAAGTTACGTATGCAATATGTTTTCTTCTCTCTCTCCTGTCAACCTAAGTAACTGTCATAAAGTTGTTGCCGACTCATCGCAGCCCTGGAGGACTGGGTAGAACTTCCCGCATGAGTTTCCAAGACTGTAGTTCTTTACAGGAGTAGAAAACAGCGTCTTTCTCCTGTCGAGAAACACAGGAACATAATTATGGGGCATATTCCCATTGGGGATCTATATAAAAAATACTAAACATTTTTCCTAATGGCACATTGCCCCTCCTGGTTTACCCACCAACAGATGTGAAGTCTCCTTTTCTGAATCAGACATGTCCCCCAACCAGTGGACTTGAATTTCCATTATGGTGCACTGAGCACTGTTGTAGGAGTGTTGGTTGATATGGTATGTCTGTGAACCAATTAAGCAATGAACTTAACCAGTTGCTGTCAGGCCGTCGTCTCTAACTCACGGCATGCCACATGGGTGTCAGAGAACTGTGCTCTACTGGGTTTTCAACGGTTGGCTTTTTAGAAGTAGATCACGAAAAATTTAGAGTTTAGCTCTATGTGGCAGGTATTATTTGTAGCTTTACTTTACACACACAAACAATTAAGAGTATAAAAGAACTTGCCCTGCATATAAAGGAGACCTTATGGGGTAGGGGTGGGGGTGGGAATCCATTCTCTTTTCATTCCATCTGTCCACGAACGTTTTGAAGCTCTGTTGTACACCTATACTCGGCTAACCCAGAAGACAAATCCAGGTAAAGAATCTGTGAGTTGTGCCCACTGCCTCCAGTCACTCCCTGTTCCTTTGCGCTGTTGTTAATTGCCATCCAGGGAGTGGACAGTGACAATAAAATCATGGATGTCAGACACACAAGGCAAAACTGCTTAATGATATAATGAAACACAAATACAGTGACTTGAAAGTGTGTGTAAGAGATCTGCTTTCTGCCTGCTAGGAGCTTTCACTAAAAAACAAAAACTCACTGCCATCAAGTCAATGGTGAATCACAGCCACCCTATAGGGCAAGGTAGAACTGCCCCTGTATGTTTCCAAGACTGTAACCCTTTACAGGAATAGAAAGCCTCATCTTTCCCCTGCGGAGAAGCTGGTGGTTTCGAATTGCTGACCTTGTGGTTAGGAGCCCAATGAGTTTCTCACTATGCCACCATGACTCCCCCTTTACTGAAAAAAGCCAAGTCAAAATAATTTAATCTCCACTAGTAAGTTTTCTGCAAACAAGAGAAAGTACTGCAAACACAGGACTTAAGGGAAAGCATAAAGTACCAGGAGGAACAACAGATTTCTCCAAGGGGGCGAAGATTTCATGTTCCTGCTACAAGTAAAGCTGGCATTAAAAGAGATTGTTTTCTCAGTCTTCACAAACCATCTAATGAACTCTTGTGGCACAATGTTTAAGCATTTGGCTGCACAGATCTGTAAGTATAATTCAGGTATTAAATGGAGTTGAGCTGTAATTTAGGTGTTGGACTACTAATCCAAGATCAGTGGTTCAAATCAAACAGCAGCTGTGCTAGAGGAAGATGAGGTTGTCTCTCCCTGCACCTAGGGTCAATATGGGTGGAAATCAACTCAATGGCAACCACAAAAACCAAGCCCATTACCATCAAGTGGTCTCTGATTCATGGCAACCCTACAGGTCAGAGTAGAACTGCGTCCTAAGCACCATGCCCTTTGATGGCAAACTCTCTGCCATCAAGTTCACATACAGAGACTCTTAACACTGTAAAGTCTACAGGGTAGTAAAAAGCTTCCCCTTTGGGTTTCCAAGGCTGTCAATGCTAAAGGGAGCTGAAAGTCTCATCTTTCTTCCTCAGAGCCATGGGTGGGTTTGAACTGCTTTACCTTTTGGTTAGCAGCCAACGAGTAATACACTAAGCCGCCAAAGCATAGTGGGTATTATTTATTCTAGGAGCTCTGGAGGCAGAGTAAACACTAGAACTAGGCTATCTGAAGAATAATGCACCAGGAGAACTTTTCAAATGAAGAAGGATTATGGCAGCCTGTTTTTTAAAAGATGTATAGCACTGAAAACCCTATGGGGCTGCTCTACTCTGTCCTATCAGCATGCGCTGGAATTGGTTTATTTATTCTGAGAAAACCAAAACCAAACCAGACTCACTGACTCATATTGACACTATGGGGCACAAAGGGCCTGTGGGCTTCCAAGATTGTAACTCTTCACAGAAGTAGAAAGCCTCAAAAAGATCAAAAGGCAAATGATATCGGAAAGTTGTAATTTCTAAACTTGGGCTATCTGTTAAGCTGTTTACTTTTTTTCACTTGCTTATTAGGCAACTTTTAATCACAATCGAACATGTCTACAGAAGCTGTATAATAAAACCCTCATTACAATCATATGCAATTGGCTTATGTATAGCTTGAAATTATTACAAAATGGATAATTATGGCAGAAAATATCACAATACTGGTAAATAGCCAGACATTTAGGGTCCTCTTCCTCACACTCTCTGGGAAAACCAGTATCACTTTCATGAAAATTTACAGTGGAATTACCACGCCATAGTATATAAGACCGATTCTGAAAAACACTACTGCAACTTTTAGTAATCTATTTGAACATGATAAATGCAAGGGTCCCTAGGCCACTAGACTATTTACATATGGAATTCAAAGAATGGTAGCAGTGAGTTCTTTATGAAAAAATACTTGTTCTTTTAAAAGGTATTCGGTGAACTTGAAAAACGAAAGGTACTGCTTTTATATGTTTACTCTGCGCTGCTATGAGTCAGAATTGACTCGGTGGCGGTGAGTTTTTGAGAACTGCTGGTGACAAACAAATCGTGCTTTTTTAAAGACACCCACAATTTTCAACTACAATGCTTGATATGAAGTTAGAGATAAATATGAAACTAACCCAACTCTTTCTAAGCTTGACAAGTGGGGGAATGCTAGGTCCCCAACACATAACTCAGCAAAGATTTTAGTATGACACGATGTTGGCAAACTCCCCCACCCCATGAAAGCTAGACTACAGACGATAGGTTCACTTTAAAAAGACAGACGATCCTACAACACACTTGGACCTCAGGGCTTCGACGCCCTCGGGCACCTCAATGATGGAGGTCTGTTTGCCTTCTCCGCTCTCCAAGGCCCGGGCCGGCGGCCCGCGGCGGAGGGCCCCCGCGGCGGGGCTGGGGACGCCGTGCGCGCGGCAGGGCGCTCTCGCCTCCGGCCGTCCTTCCGGGACGGGCCACGAGCGACTGGGAGCCTCCCTCACTCACCGTGAAGCGCTGGTCGCCAACGCTGCCCACCGAGAAGCAGTGGTCGCCGGGGTTCACGGCCCCGGTGAGCACCTGGTGCAGGTTCATGTCGGCGCCTCAGTCCCGCAGCGGACGCGGCGTCCGGCTCATACCCGAGGTCAGCGGTCGCGTCCCTCGCCGCCTTTCAGGGGCGGCGGCCACTCTGAGGCTGCGGCTGCGGCTGCGGCCGCGGCGGCGACGAGCGCAGGAAGCCGGGGCCGCTCAGCTGGGGCCCCGAGCACATCCCAAGCCCAGGAGGGCGAGGCCCGCAGGGGGCGGGCCGGCGGGCGGGGCGCCGCGCTTTCCGCGCACCTGTCACTGCGCGCGTGGGCCCAGGTGAGGGTCGGGCCGATTCGCCGGCCGGGAGAGCCTGCTGTCCACACACTCCCTCCGGCCCGGGGCAGCCGGCGCGGACCGGGATGAAGTGACGCAGGCAGCGCGCGCTCGCCCAGCGGAGGGCTGGCCGATCTCGTCCCGGCTCCGGTGCCCGCCACCCCCACCGGCCTCGGGAACTCACTACGCGGACCTGGGCCCTCTGGCCGAAATATCGCGAGATAGCTACGGTGAAGGAATTTTTTTTTTTTTTAACCCAGAGTAGACGTATTTCTAAGTGGATAAAAAAACTACTTGTCTGGACAAAGCTGGCCAATCCCGAGCAGGGATCTACCAAGAATTCCGCCCACTAGTGAAGGCAACCAATCTCTTTGAAGTTTCTGAGTGAGGACGGAGTTCGTCTGAGTGTTGAATATAATGAGTTCAACAGAAGTACAAATAAGTGGAGAGTGAGGAGAGAATTATCAAGTTATGCTTTAATTTGACAGTTGGGCGTGAAATTTCAATAGGAAAGCGCATTAGTACGGGAGTCCTCGTACTGGTGGAAACTACAAATCCCAGGATGCACCACTCCTATCGTCAGTTCGTCAATTTCCCTGTAAAGTGACTCTGGAGGTTAGAGTTAACTGTACCAGCGATACACGCATTTCCAATTTGCTAAACGAGATAATTAATAAGTACTAAAATGAAACATTTTAAACAAAATTATCTTATACATTTAGAATAGCTGGTAATAACAGTACTGCATCAGTTCTGTGTAGAGCATTTAGTTTGGAAAAGTGCGGAAGAATTCCAAAACGCTTAGTGTTACAGTGAGATTTAACTGTCATTTTGACACAATTTTGTAACTTATTATTGATAAACGTACTGGTTTAGTTACCTCGAGCTACTATGGCAAAATTAGCACAAGTGGATAATTTTTAACAAAACAATTTATTGTTTCACCCTCTGCGAACCCCAAAGCAGGGCACCAGTCAGCATGTGCAGTTCGTTATTCAGTAAGTTGCATATTGCAATAGATAGTGATCTTTCATAGTTTTCATGCAATTTTAAATTATATGTAGTGCAGTACCACAAACAATGAATAGCAGCTTGGAATCCGTACAAAATGCCACTAGAAATGCTGGAAATACTTCTAAAAACCAAAGAAAAAACATGACACTACAAGAAAAACTTGAACTATTTGATATGTTCCTTAAATTGAGGTCTACAGCTACAGCTGCCAACCATTTCAAGATCAATATATCTTATTGAAACAATAAGGACCATTGTTGTTGTTTTAACAATTAGGGAGTTCTTGCCATCGCTGCAGTAACAACAGTTATAGAAACCTTGTACTTTTTGAAAACTAACCTTTCATCTCATAAGAAAATACAGTTTTATGAGGGAGCAGTAGATAATACATATAGTATACACATTATGTGCTAATCAACTATGTATGCTATCTGTGAGGCTCTCAGTCAATAATAGGCTATTAATAGTTTGGGGGAGTAAAAGTTGTCCCTAAACTCAAGGGCTTAGTTTCAGCCAAACAATTATTATGGTTATGGCTGTGGGCCTTTGGAGTTGGTTCTGACTTATAATGACAGGATGTACCACAGCACTAAACACCACCCAGACCCACAACATCTCACAGTTGTTCTTATGATGGAGCTGTTTGCAGCCACTGTATCAATCTTGTCCAGGGCCGCCTTCTTTTTTGATCCCCCTCGATTTTACCAAGTATAAAAACAAGCAGATCCATAAGAGGAAGGAGAAAATGTCATGGGGACCATGTCTGGCCTGCCCCCAACTACACAAGAGGAAAGAAAAATCTCCCTCCACATATACCCAAGGATGATTCCTCTGAGGCAAAAGTCAGGCATGCCTCCAGCCTACATCCTTCTTTATCATATTCTGACACCAACCATTTCTTCCATAGCACTATGCTATGTGAGTTCCATAATTCATTGCAATGGCTACACAGAACTCATAGACGATACTCTAAATTATGGGGTTTATTAGCGAAGTTAAGAGATTACAAGTCAGGATAAAAATCATTAAGGAAACAGCGCTTTTATCTCCCAGAACCTCTTGCTCAGCTGCTCCTGTATTTCTGGTGCTTAGTGTCTCAGCAATGAGATCCCCTTGGCCTCTGCCCTACTCGGGCAGGTATTACAAAGCTCCTTCAATTCTGGTAAAGGCGGAAAGGGCACCCCATTTTGTAAGCCAGCCTCCTGCCCAAAAGCACTCAGTTTTGAAATACTTTTTTTGGGGTGCACTGTTATTGTATTATATGATTATTTAGTTTAATTAGAAAAACACCATAAAAGTAATTACACAAGCATCTTTTTTAAAAAAATATTTTATTTGGGGACTCTTACAGCTCATCACAATTCATACCATCCATCCATCAATTGTGTCAAGCACATTTGTACATTTGTTGCCACCATCATTTTCAAAACATTTTCTTTCTACTTGAGCTCTTGGTATCAGCACATTTCCCCCGCCCCCTCCTTCATGAACCCTTGATTATTTATAATTTTTTAAAATATCTTATACCGACTGCTATCTCCTTTCACCCACTTTTCTGTTGTCC